ACAGAATACAAAACTATAAACGGTATCCGCTGGGTATTCCAAACCGTCGAGTTTCCTAGCCTCACACATTAATTGGGATAGAGAATACTCGTAATTCAGTTCAGCCTTACTCCTGTCATGGATATCTTCCAGTATAGGGCTAATATCTGAGCATGTTTTGGATGTTTCATTTCTAGAGCGCTGCCATTCTCTGAACGTGATTACCGCCCATTGAAATTTTGCTTTTATCGCAGGTGCAATCTGAATTTTAAAAAAAATGCAGAAAAAACATTAATACTTGAATTCGTTAATATTTTAATGTAGTTAAAATACGGTTTAACTAATCGCGTACATACAGAATCAATTTCATATGATATACTAGACGAAAACGTTAAGAAATCTCCCCCTCCCCCGTCTCAAAAGATAAGTGCATTTTTAAGGTATATATAAAACATACTGTTTCATCTTTAGTTCCTCTAATTCTTTATCAGGCTTTGGAATGCTGAATGTTCTCTCTGCAATCTTTGGGGCTCTCAAAGCTCTCACCTTTTTCAAAACTATGTACGATTTCATCATCACTGACATCTGAGAATTGTAGTGCATATATTGCAGATTTTTTGGCACCTCTATGCACTTTCTCGAGCCCCAAAAATATCGCTCACAAGTTATTTGTTTCATATTCACTATCACTTGGATTTGGAAATTTATACTTTTGTTGAGTCAAAAAGATTTTCACATCGCTGCTCGGATAATCCATGTTGAAATGAGGAACAGTATTTTCTTTCATTTTATTGAATACACTTGACCTCTCCATTATTTTTTGACATTTCCAATTACTTTGACTTGGCTTTGAAGAACAATGATGAACATTCTGTCATTTGGGTAGTACATTTTACATGTAATGAACAGAAATGACCTATTCATAATTTTCTTACCTCTTCATTACTTTGAATTGGCTTTTTATACAGCGAAGGGCTCCAGGAAGATGGATTTCAAGTGGGTCAATATCCTCGTACCTTTCCATTCCTAAATGGCCACGTCGGGGCCTCGGCTCCATTACTTTTTTAAGAATGGAGAGGTACTCAGACATTAAACCATACATAAGCATTCATTACTAATACATTACTAATACAACTGTATAGCCCAACATTCACTACACTCCATAATGACATTGCATCACTATCAGCCATACTAGTCTCTAAATCCTAGTGAGCGAGCTTAGAGTTCCGTGCTACCGCATGACCTTACTATTCATACTCTATATAACCACCTGACTTTCAACAAAACGTTTCGAACACGCTACGTAATACCCTGCCACATAATTTTAAAAGTGATTCATTCATTTATCTAACTTTGCAGTAAACGACCCCTATTCATTCACTAGCATACGTTGACTATTGTGTTTATACAATATTCAAATTCGTAAAATAAAATAATTGCAGGTCCCTGGAATGTACATGTAATGCATTTTCACTATATGATCAAAAGAGCCCCTCCCTGACACCAGAACCCCTGGGGCCATAAAATTCAAATTTTGGAAGAGGCACTACTGCTCAACGTAACTATGTACTTAGTTAATTTAATACCCAGAAGCAGAGAAGAAGATTTTCAAAGAATTAATGCATTTTCACTATATGATCAATAGAGCCCCGCCCTGACACCAGAACCCCTGACCCTGAGGCCATAGAATTCACAATTTTGGAAGAGGCACTCTCTCTTATCATAACTATGTGCTTAGTTAATTTAATACCCAGGAGCAGAGAAGAAGATTTTCAAAGAATTAATGCATTTTCACTATATGATCAATAGAGCCCCGCCCTGACATCAGAACCCCTGGGGCCATAAAATTCACAATTTTGGAAGAGGCACTCTCCCTCTTATCATATAACTAAATATTTAGTTAGTTTATTTAATAACCAGGAGCAGAGAAGTTTTTCAAAGAATTAATGCATTTTGACTATATGATCAATAGAGCCCCGCCCTGACACCAGAACACCTGGGGCCATAAAATTCAAATTTTAGAAGAGGCACTCTTGCTCAACATAACTATATACTTATTAGTTTATTTAATACCCAGAAGCAGAGAAGAAAATTTTCAAAGAATTAATGCATTTTCACAATATGATCAATAGAGCCCCGCCCTAAACACCATAAACCCCTGATCCTGGGGCCATAAAATTCACAATTTTGGAAGAGGCACTCTCTCTTATCATAACTATGTATTTAGTTTATTTAATACCAAGAAGCAGAGAAGATTTTTAAAGAATAAATGCATTTTCACTACATAATCAATAGGGCCCTGCCCTTACACCAGAACCCCTGAACCTGGGGCCATAAAATTCACATTTTGGAAGATGCACTTTTGCTTATCATAACTATGTACTTAGTTCACTTAATACCCTGGAGCAGATGAAGATCTTCAAAGAATTAATGCATTTTCACTATATAATCTATATTGCCCCGCCCTAGCACTAGAACTCCTGACCCTGGGGCCATGAAGAATTTTGGTAGAGGACTCAATGCTCATTACATTCATGCAAACAGTTTGCCTGCTTGATGTTCAGTAGAAAAAAAGAAGATTTTTAAAGATTGCAATAATTTTAGTGGTTTTGGCCCCATCCCTCAGGCCCCAGGGGGGGGATAACATTCATAATGTTTGTTTCCCTACACCCATCGATGCTGTATACCAAATTTCGTTGAAATTGGTTCAGTCGTTTCAGACAAGAAGCTGAAAAGGTTCAAATGTTAACACACAACGACGGACGAAAACGGATAGCAATAGGTCACAGGCGCGGATCCAGAAATTTTTTCCAGGGGGGGTCCACCCCAGTCAGAAAAAAAAAATCCAATCCCAGAAATTTCTTGACAAGCAAAAAAAAAAAAAAAAAAAAAAAACCTAAACTCGCCCAAACGTCAAAAACCTATTTCGGGGGGGGGGGGGGGGGGGGGGGGGGGGTAGTGGTGACTTCTATAGTGGTGACTTCTATTGCCGCAAATCGTACACTTTTCATACCCATTTCATACAAATTCGCGTTTACCAGGGGGGGGGGGGGTCCATGTTAACTTTTTTATTGTTTTAGTATTTACATTTTTTAACCTGGTAAATTCCAGGGGGGGGGGGGTCCTGAACCCCCCGACCCCCCTCTAGATCCGCGCATGGGTCACCTGAGTAACTCAGGTGACCTAAAAATAGCTTTTTTGAACCGTCACCATAACCGTTAAACCATGAGAGATAGAGACTTCATATATGGTATGCATACTTAACTAATCAATTTCTTTCAAATTACAACAAGATCAATGACCTTTTTGACCTTGACTGTGACCTATAAGCTAAATATATGTTTTTTTTTTTACTTTTTTGCTGCCGGGCGAATAGTGTTTCACAAACACATCTTGTTGAAGCTTTATCTCACCCGACACCGGTAGGAAAAGTGTAGATATAGATGAAAATTAAGTGTGAACCGAGGTCCCCTCTGATTTTCAGGATGGCGAGTGGCGCTCCTTTCCTCTTTTCTATACAGTTAATATGACCTGCTTATTTCAGCGAATTTTTATTTTGAATTAGGGTATTCAGACACACCTAGAAAAACACAAAATACACAAAATACACCATCCCGAAACCAAGCGCCTATGGTTATCAAAAGAAAAGTTTAATCAATCAGAATGAATTCCTATGTTATGTATTTTTAGTAAAGATTTCAATGAAATTAAGTACTGCAGTATATGTATGATATTAACTTTTTCTAATTATGTCAAAGCGGATTTTTTTTTCTGTTTTCTACATTTAATATAGATTATGTCTGGTTGAAATGATAGAACAAAATGTTATAGTTTATACAGGTTTTATCAAAATATGAGGGACATACATGTACAGTGTACATATGATAACCCCTCAGTATGCGCTTAATGTCTCCAACAAAGCAAAATATCTTTAGTCCTCAAACATGAATTAGCTTGAGGTGCAAATAAATCATTTTCGCGCAGTTGTACAGATAATAACTCGATATACAGTACTAGTACTCAAATATTTCAGCAAAAATCAAAAAGTTGACCACCTAAACTGTTAATTACCCACCGTCATAAACACTGAGCAAATTTAAAAAGAAGTGTGTGATGTCATTCAGAAATTACAAATATAAACGCCGTTTCTGGGAAGTTACCAACCAGATTAAAATCAGATCCTTTGATCCGCTCACATATATCGCTACACAAGGATCTATGGAAAGCCTATTCAGGGTCATGTCCTGGTGACATTTCTAATAAAAATATTTATCAAAATTTTGACCAATCAGAGAGTTTGCACTTCAGCGACATTCGGGAAAATGAATGTAGAAATGAAAGTAGGTTGTTTTCTTGGCAGGCTACAGAAACTAGATCAAAATTATCCGCTCGTGTATCATCGGGGCTTTCACTTCTGCAACTGAATTCTGAGATATTTCTAAATTCTCGGAAGCGAACATTTGATTGGATTATTGAAAGGTCACCAGGAGGTGACCCTAAATGGGGTTTCTTCAGATCCTTGTGTAGCAATCTATGTGAGCGGATCAAAGGATCTGATTTTAATCAGATTGAAGTTTTCACCGAAGTTGATTTTTTTTTTTGAAACTTAGGTCAATCGTGAAGGTCAAGAGGTAAGAAATCATGCACAAATGTTTTCAGGAACTGAAGTAGTTCCAAGTAGTTTAGGCAACCGTGGCTCTTGGCAAAGGTTTGCATGCACCTGCTGCTCGCAAGGTTATTCATTTAAAAATGTCCAATTTCATTGAGAAACACTTACAAGAAACTGGTCGCTCAGGGCGAGATTGGTTACCAGCTGATACAATTTAGTATGTAAATGAAACAGATGGCAGCTGGAGCAACAGACCTAAGATGCAAACCTCGATGCTGTATTAGCACAGACACCAGATGGGGGAAATAAAAAGTGCAATTTACAGTAGTACTTGCCTTGTATATTTGTAAACTTTGACACTTGCCTTTACATGAGAGACCTTGACTCAATGATGTAAAAATAACACATTAGAGATTTTATATGATTTTTAATAAATGATAAGATCTTCAACTACTGGAGTGTATTTTATAATGGCCTTAAGTGAAGGTTTACAAACTTGCAAGTTTAGATGCCCTCCCATTCGTACCTACCCAAGTCTTTATATATTTGATATAGAACTATTAGTGTATATTCAGCAAAGTGTATGAGTGAACTGATGGCTATTTAAGCCGAAATGACCAAGTAAGATAATTAGACAAAGGCGATTTAGTCCCGTAAAAGTTCTGAATGGAGAAGTCGAGAGAATTAATGTCAACACCATCATTAGCCAATTTGCCCGTCTTAATTACGACATTCGCTGTGGTTTCCGGTGAATGATAGAAGCTACTAGATATGTCGGCATATTTTGCACTGTCCCATTCAGTTAATTTAACTGGGAAATAAAGATAAATTTCATTGCTCGTAATTTTTCCGCACTCGGTTGCAATAGCAGAATAGTTGGTTGTTTGTTCATCGCTTAACTTTAGTACTCCAAACTTGCAGCTAGTAAAAGGAAAATTGGTCTGTATAGTTTTACTTGTTTGGGGGAGGTCAAAATTTACAGTCAGTGATTCAAATGTTGATGCTGACTGAAGTTTAATTTTTCCGAAACTGTTAACATCCACGGAAGATTGAAAAACTACTTGGTAGTCCGATGTGCTTTGATCAATATCCTTCACTGAAATAGAAACACAGGCATGTCAATTCAGTAGTAACAAAACATGCATAATACACTGAATGTTTTATGTTTTTATAAAGCAAATTGCTGTCAGGCTGAACAGGATTCGTAAAAAAGAATTTGTCCGCCATATTTCTTCGAACTCTCGCTATATCTGCAGGCCCCTATAAATAGAGCCGGTCGCTATTCAGTGTAATTAATTGTCACCGGTGTACATGGACGTATGCAATACAATACTCAGTAGCACCAAAAAATAAATGTGTACTTCTTCCAATGCAGGAAAGTAAGATACGAAAGACACTTACAATATTTGAACGATTTACTGTATTATACAAACAAACACCAAAATATTCGTAACTGCAATATCATGTAAATAAAGGCAATGCAAGATAAACAGTACGAACACGGGTCGCCATTCCACGCCGATACCCGTGACAATAAAGCAGTCAAGTGTAACGAACGCGAAGAGTATACCCTGGTGTTGATAATGATATCGAAGATAGTATTTGCCTATTTACGAGTCGTGTTCAGCTTTAACCTCATATAGACCTGATAATAGTACTTAAACTTTTTATAATATTACCTTTGCCAAAGTTTCCATCAATGATGCCTGAGAAGGACGCTGTCAAATCTCGAGGCCCATGAAATATACAGCGGGTGATTGCTAGTCTCTTCCCTTGATCAAGTGAATTACTGAAATGTATAGGTTGTATTTTCACCTTTCCTAAAGGCCGCAGAGTTTCCACCGTCAGCTATGAAATATTTTTAACGTTATTATAGCATAATGTTCAATAACTCTTCTCGTTTTGATCAAGGAACAAAAAAATATCATTTAATCCCTGCAATACTGAGAGTATTAAAATTGTAAATGAGATGCAACCCACATGATTGTTTTCAAACTTTATACCCTATTATACCTGAATATTCCAAATGATTTTTTTTCATTTCACTTAAAAGAGTGGAATGAACAAAACAAAACAAATTACACCAGCTAAAAAAAAGATTTATTCTAAATAACCTTCTAAATTTAACTACGAAACGGTTGAATTGTTTATTGTTTTACGTCCCATTCGAAAATCTTTGTCTCAGATAGAGACATGACCATAAAGCAGCGAGGGCTTCAAACTTTGAGCTTTACTCGGCACCCAGGGGCATTGAGCAGTGCCAACGCCTGTCGTGACACGGGGCCTCGGTTTTTAATGCCTCACTCAAAGGACCCGCAACGTTCACTTTCTTTTTTTATCGGTCAGTCGCAGCCGAGATTCAAACTAAAAAACTCCCGATTACGAAGCAATTGCTCTCCTGACTGAGCTTATCAGCTACCGAGAATGTTTGTATATTATTTAACGTCCCTCTCGAGATTTTTTCACTCATATTGAGACGCCACCACTTGCCGTTGGAGGGCTGCAAATTTTGTCCTATATTCGGCACTCAGGGTCATTGAGCAGGGAGGAATCTTTATCGTGCCAGCACCTACTGCGACACGAAAACTCGGTTTATACGGTCTCATCCGAAGGACCTGTCTCTACGTCCTACAGTTGGATTATAAACCCGCGACGTAAGGATCAACTCCTTACTTCGCGAGTCTAGAGCAGACGTTCTAACCACAGCACTACAATGACTAGGAAGTAGATGTACATACATTTAAATTCTCTAAACTTGAATTAGCCATTATATATTTTCCCTGTTGACTTTTGTGTAAAACATGTATATTTTGTACATATCACCTACTAAATACCCGGAGGAGTTTTCCTCCAGAAGTTAAGCTTAAGCTTGGATAAGAAAATGACACGAACTTATGGACGAAAAGCATAAATATGTTTAATTTTTAGTTGTACTTAACGATAAATAACGCGTAAAATCTATCAAAATAATCCTAAAATATGAATAAAGGCAAAAAAATTTACACTATCAATCCTTATTGTCTGCATAAAAAGAACAAATGCAGCAATAAGAACCCGCCATACCAGTAACTCCATTGCTTGTTTCTCCGTTAGGCTTAGTTTACATAAATGAAATGGACAGACTCCTATTTCGGCATATGACAATTATGAAACCTTGGTCATACAAATAGTTCATAATTTAATTTCAGATTATAATAAATACATGTAATATTTAAAAGGTCAAACGTCCTTCGACGGTTCACCCGTCGCATCAAATTGAAGAAATGTCACTGCATCATTAACTGTAAATTTCAGTTGATAATATAAATTTGGAAACTTATCATTTTTTTTCATAAAGGGACTTGTGTCAAATTGAAAGGAAAGAGGTGCCTCTTTTGAGAACAGTTCTTTTTTTTAAATTGTGGATAAATTTTACTTGATCATAATTTAGAAATTGTTACTTAAACAAGAAAATTCATTAAATGACAAATTTCTTAAGAGGTTAGTTACACACAAAAATTCTCTGCATGATTATTAATGTAAATAATATAGACGATTTCTATCAAGTTCCTTTCCTGTTCACAATTAATCCCCACCCTTCTATAAATTAAAGATTATTTCAAAACAATAACAGTGTTCTGCAGTGTATTTTTCACCATATTCGTAAACTAATTAAGTATTACTAAATACTATTTTAAAATTGCCATCGAAGTTTTTTTGAAATTTCATTATTATTATTATTATTATTTTTTTTTTTACATTATTTTGTTTCCCAGACGTGCGAACAGGGGGTATAACTTAAACGACGGTCTATGCAGCTGTCGTTTTCAAGATGGATAGGTTTAGCAATTAATAAAAACATCAATTTTTAAAGGTACTTGGACACAGATTTGAAGTTATTATTTTCTTTATAATATTACAACTAATATATTTTAATAGCATTTCACACAAAAATTAATTAAAATATTATTTCATATAAAAGATATTAAAATTTAAATTTTTTTGGCGGGTTTGATTGACACATCCTTGCACTTTCACGAATTAATTTTATTCTTAATCCTTAGGAAAAGTGGCAATCTCGTTGTGCATAAATGAAAAATATTAATACTATAATCCAGAAAATTCAGAGTAGACATGTTCGATAGCAAAACAAACACACAATGTATTGTCAGTCCGTGCAGTTGTGGTAAGCAGACTGACAATTAAACGCACCCGGTGAATTGTAAACATCAACAAAAACAGAACTCGGCCCTGTTTACAAAAACTGTGTATATAAATACGAGTGTGCTCGATTTGCTGAACTCTGTACGCAACTCTTAGTTCGGAATGACGATACTTGTGAAGGAGTTTTGCTTTCTAACATTTCTACTCTGAATAAAATTATTTCTCTGGATAAAAGTTTTAAATTTCTCATTAATACACAAGATTGCCACTTTTCCTAAGGATTAAGAAAAAGGTTAAAATTTGTGATAGTGCAAGGATGTGTCAATCAAACCCGCCAAAAAATGTGAAGTTTTAATAACTTTTAAAGGAAATAAGATTTTTAATTAATTTTTGTGTGAAATGCTATTAAAATATATAAGTCGTAATATTATAGAGAAAATATTGACTTCAAATCTGTGTTCAAGTACCTTTAAAGCCAAGCTTTTGAATGCTCAAGTATCTGTTCTTTGTATGACGTATCTGTCATGGACGTCAGTACAGACGGAGTAACCATGCGTAATTCGTCAACAACGAAACGGTAGTACCTCTCTACTTTCCACTGCTACTTCGCTCTTTCTTGTCAGCTCTGCATGTCCCTCCACGTAGTTGACCCAATATAAAATTGACAGTGAATGATGGCGAATGTACCCGGAAGTCACTTTCAACCTAAATCTCGCATGTCATGTGACGAAACTTGCAGACACAGTGAGACACTATTTTAAAGAACTGTGATAAAGGTATATCATTTTTTACGGTCCAAATACTGTTTGTTCGCAGGTGGAAAATAATGACCGATTCATGGTGAATTCTAAGTCATTAAAAATGCTTTCCAATGTACTTTTACTAGAAGCACTGACTTTTACTGTTGACTGTTTACTTGGAAATTCAAACCTGTATCGTCTACCTATCTAGTATGTCAGAGGTATGTTGTTATGGGCACTAACATGTGAAGGCCGGGAGTTGATGGTAAAATGGTCAAGTGCAACTCATCTGTGCTGCGAAATTAAACGTTGAGTTTAATATTTATATCGTAAAAGAGTTTTCGTACACTGTCCTAGTAAAAGTGAGCCGTCAACTGTAAGAGTCAGCGCTCCTCGTAAAAGTCCCATAATTAGTAAATAAATAGCATACGAATGTATCACAGATTTATATTTTAATCAGATTCTAAATCTTAAGCTCCATTTTAATATTTTTGCGTCGGTCCAAAGAGAAAAATTGTATCATCTGTCCTTATCCTTACACCTCGGATGTTTTGGAGGTCCATGTTTGCTTTGCTCCATTTCTGTATTGTTTCATGGACTTTCGATTTTGAATTCTGTTTGTTATCTCATTATGTTTCATCTTTATATAGAACAAACTGAAGGAATTCGAATAATGTATCATATTGAATGAGAATGCAACACTTTATGCAACGGTTGAAGATTTCAATACTGTTAGATTCAGAATGGTCAATGACTTCTTTCTTTGATAAGAATTTAAATGAAAGATTGAATAACGAATACATTTATTTTTATTATTTGCACAAATAATAATAAATGTAGTTACATGGTGCATCGTTCATCCCTCTATCTGGAATCATGTAGGTGGCACAGTGCTCCATTCCCTGTAAGTTATTAGGCCTTCCTGGCACCCAATGGCTGTAGTGCATTCTTTCCGCATTTGAAAGATATAGAAAATTTCCTTCTTCTTGAATATCACTTGCACCAAGCCAGACTTGGTTCTGATAACCTTTAAAATAGCATCAAATATTTCATTTATGTCCAAGTTATCAACTTACAGGATAAAAAAAATCAAACCTAAATTTAAAATAATAAAAAGATCTACAAGCTTTTTTAGTCTTAAAAAGAAATGAAAATGATTTTTTATCTCTATAATTACAATCAGATATATCTAAAGATATCATGCACATTTAATTTCCAGTTGTTTTATAATGCTAACTGTAATTAAATGAAACTTCGTGTAGCAGGAGCCTTTGTCAAGTTTTTGTCAACCTCTTAAACGGCTTTGCAAATCAATCTAATTTTCTTTCTTTGCATTCTGAAGTTCTAATAATTCGGAGCCCAGCAGATAACATGACAACTGCAAATTAAAAAATATCGACTAACTATTACTCACACAATCAAGATATTTTAAATGTTACCTTAGAAATTTAAGCTCGATTAAATATTTTAATATCTTTTAAATGGATTAGTTTATCAAAGTACATGTAAGTAACATAGAGTAAGGAAACATACAAATTAAAAGAATTGTTGTGTTTCGCTTTCGGTGTCTTTGTGGGTGAGATGTTATTATATATGGCACATTGTGTCAAATATGAACGCCCTATCAGGACATTCAAAGTAATCACCGAAGTTGATTTTTTTTTAATGTGATCAAATATATATATCAAGGGGTCAGAAATAATAGCATATTCGGAAATATCTTGTCACAGGTTAATGTCAAATATGAAATCCCAATCTTTTTTCTAACGGAAGTTGTAAGAGAAAAAAGTAATTTTGTTGAAAGGTTTGTCAAAAGTCATGGTTCAAGGTCTCAGGGTCAAAAATCACTGCATTTAAAAAAGGTTTTGTCACAGTCAGTTTGCATGTGAAAGCCATGTCAGGTCTCATTAGTTATTTTTGACCAATTGGAAAGTCTTTAAAAGTAGGCCCAACTTCAAGGTCCCGAGATTTAAAAAGAAAATTACAGTTTACAGTATTAAAAGGCCATATCATTTCTCATTCAAAAGTTATGGTCAACATGTGGCGCAGTAGTTAGGGCATCTGCCTGTAGCAGTCGATCCTTACGTCACGGGTTCGAATCCCACTGTGGGAAGTGGAGACCGGTCATTCAAATGAGACTGTATAAACCGAAGTGCCGTGTCGCAGTAAGTGCTGGCACGAAAAAAAAAACCTAACTGCTCAATGGCCTCAAGTGCCAAGTACAAGACGAAATTTGTAGCTATCCACTTGCAGGTGGTGGCGTCTCCATACGAGTGAAAAATTCTCGAGAGGGACGTTTAACATACAATCCTTTAATAAAAAATTATGGCCAATTTACAATAACTTTTAAAGTTTTGGAAAGTAGGTCAAAACTAAAAGGTCACCGGGTCAAAAATCATAGTGTATTTAGAAAGGTTTTGTAACAGATAAAACATGTACACGTGTAATATGAGAATCCTGTCCTTTGTTTCTAAAGATATTACTTAGGTTAAAGTTTTTATTTTGTGACAGATCAAGACTGACGGACGGACAGACGAATGAGATTGAATATCCCATCACTTTCCCGGAAGCTGGGAAAAATAAAAGTGAATCGTCAACTTACCATAGCATCTTTAAATGTGGCTTCTGATGTTGAAAAATAATAGCAACTCTTTTGGTATGAAACCCATCCTTTATCACAGGTTTCTACGTGTATAAATAAAGAATCTAGAGGAAATTAAAGCTCTGACCTGCTTGAACATGGTAATCAGTTTTCCTTATTTAACGAATGTAAAAATATTTTAAACCATACACAGAAATATGATACACTGGATATGAAATTTGTCATTAAACAAACTATGACTATGATAAAATTTCATAATATTTCAATGCAAAGACAACAAACAATCATCATGCCAAAAAGTTCAATTTAGCAGAACTACATGTAATAAGTCAAAAGTCGGGATACTGTGCTAAAGAGTATAAGGAAAACTTATTAATCGATCAGTCCCGCATTGATCCATTGGTCTGACCAGGTAAATAAAGAAACCTTTAGGCGATAAATAACTTGTATGTAAAAGGTCAGTGAGCATACGACCTAGGTCAAAGGTATTTATAAACAAGGTCAATTTTAAGACCATGCAATTAACCAATTACTGTATTGATGTAGACATTGATGTAGACAGATTTCCAAA